ATTGCATCAAAGTGTGTTTGTTTTTTAATTTACATTTGAAAAATAGCTGTGCAAATACCGTGTAACATAAAAAATTGCAGCAACCTTTTATTCTCTAGGGCTTCTGTTACAAAATATATATATAACATTGAATTTTACATATATGAGATAAGTGTCAGAATTGGCCAGGTAATGAAATGGTTAAGGAGAAAGACAACAGAATACTCACCATTTGTTGTAGGTAACAGGTCCAAACTTGGGCAGACTCTGGTAGGAGGCAGATGTAGGCTTTAACATGGTCACAGGGTGCAGGGATGGTCACTTGGATGGCACGGATAACATTCCCAGAGGAGCAACAGGGTGGATGACTGTAGCAGCCACTGTAGGGGAAAATGATTGACCTCATCACAAGGAGCAGAGAGATGAGCTTTCTGCTACATGTGCAGGTCAGGCTCATTATCATCATCGATGGATGACAAAAGTGAAGGAGGCACCTGATACTTGGATGACTGTAGGAGACACTCTAAGAGAACCAGAAATTCCTCAGTCTATCCAGCAAATGAGCATGACCCTTAAGGCCAAGGACAATAGAATACTCACCAGTTTATGTTGGCAACAGGCCCAAGCTTTGGCAAACTCTGTCATGGGAGAGATGCAGGCTTGATCACATATGAAAGGTGCTACAATGGTTCCTTGGATGGCACAGGATACTCGGAAGACTGTAGAAGTCACTGTAGGATAATCAGGAAAACGTCAGGTTAATCAGCAAATGAGAATGACCATTAGGGCTCATGTACACGGGACATTTGGAAAACACTTCTGAATGATGGAAACTAACTACTGGAAAACGTAGGTTAAAAAACATCTGTTTAGCCATGTTTGCATACCACGTTTATGCGCATTTATGCTTGTTTGCATTTAGAAGTGTTTTTTAAAGATAACCTCAGTAGACCTTCCAAAATGCCCAGAATGCACTGAAAAACAGTAAAAAATTAACTATTTCAGACATTTTGAGAGACATAGAGAGAAAGCAGAAGCAGAGAGAGCAGTATGTGTTGAAATTACCTGTCTTTTCTGGTTGTATTCACTATGGATCTCATCATGAGCACAACGCAGAACGTTCTACCATTGTTTCCTTCACGCAAAACCTGGAACTGACTAAGCTGGTGTACTGGGTCCATTTGAATACATGGAAAACACTTTGCATGCATCTCTGATGATGAAAAAAGGCTCTGGACAGAATCTGGATATGGAACAGTTAAAAAACGCTTATAAACGCAAACGCTTATAAACGCAGTTAGCCCCGGCTGTAAATTCAATTGCTTGTAGAAGACTGTAAACGACTATGTGTACATGGACACATAGGAAAACAGAGAGTTCAAGGGCTGTTAAAAAAATGTAGAAAAGCTCCTGAATGTGAGTTTATCAGTTGCAGTGTACATGAACCCTTAAGTACAAGGACAATGGAATACTCACCAGCTGGTGTTAGCAACAGGTCTGAGCTTGGCTCAAGTAAGCAGAGAGATGACTTTTCTGCTACCTATGCAGAGGTCAGACTCGTCTTCATTATTGATGGATGACAACAAGTTGTCTTGAGCAATGGCATTGCTCTTGTTGTTGAATATCAATCAGCAGCAGAAGCAGGGCAGCAGGGTTTTTTTTCTGCCAGAATCACATCAAAACTGCAAAGCCCACATGCTGCCTACATAGCAAATATGCCATTTCAACATTGTGTCCCCTCCATTAATTTGTTCTTGTTTGAAAAATGCTGTCTTGTCCAAATTGTCTTGGTGGCCTGTAAAGGCACTTTGCTCCACCAGCCACTGTGCCCATTAGGCCAACTAACTTCATCTGTTGCCTTTAGCCTCAAAGTCACTTCCCTGGCTCCAGGGCCCCACAGAAGACAGCACATCCAACACAGAAGCCATTGCCTTCCACCAGCCCACCACAGGCAAGTCGTTCAGCTCCTCAACAACCACGGAGTCAGTCTCAGATAAAGTACACGTATAAATTTCTCATTATCATCATTGTCTGCAGTTTGGCCACTGAGTATGTCAGAGTAATAGATTACCTTGTACTCTATTTGTTACATTGCACAAACTATCTGCATGATATTTAATTCCTGCAGGCCTATCATCTACAAGCTCACTGAGTGTACCCCACCCCACCTCTGACTGGCACCTGTGCATCCGGTGCTCTTTTTCCACTCTCTTCAGTAGCGCATTGACTGACAACACAGCCTGTGTGACCCAGGGTAATGATGTCACACACTGCACTTTATTTACCTTTCTAGAATAGAAATTCAAGAAATTATTTTGGGAATGACCCAGCTATCAAAATCCTAGCATTGCGATTTCTAATGTATAAAGCAGAAATTATCTTTCCCTGCATAGTCTGTGTGATCTCTACCATGTGCTCCAAGGCTTCAGCAAAAGCAGACTGTGTATATCATTGACTATAAATACAGCAGGTTTCAGCAGCATTGTTTAGTAGTAGAATAGCAGCAAATCTCTCTTCCTACAAATGCTTGGAAATCTATTCCTATCTGCTCCATGGCCAGATGTAGGGGGGTGCAGGGGTGCGCTATGCCCCCCAGATTTTAGCTGTGTCCCACCAAAACCAACCCTAACCTGCCACTATGCTGCCCTAATCTGACACTTTACCACCCTAATCTGATACTTTAGTGCCCAAGTTTGACACTATACTCCCCTAGCCTGACACTATACTGTCCTTAAGTGCAGCGCTAGAAATAAAGTGCATATGAGATATAAATATCAATATAAAACCACATACAGTAAATTCACATAGGATCGCCACCATTGCTAGTAAAAAAAACTGTGATTCGCAGTTTTACCACCCCCAACCTATCCTCTTTAGCTGCTGAGGTAGCAGCCAAAGGTGTAAACATACCACAGCAGGAATTACACCCCCTTGTTGCTTTTGATGGGTGCTACCACCTGCCAGTTGAGACCCATTCAAGTAAGTGGGACCACTCTGCAAGTGCCCCGCACTGCATGTTTCTGCAGGGTCCAAGGGGTTAATGTAGGTGCTACACCAACCAACCATGATAGGGCATAGGAGCCGGCACTACAGAGGAGACATCAACTTATGCGGCTCATGCTCCCTACTACAGCTCCAACTTTACAAGTAATCTCTCTGAATTGCACTCTGTTTGATGCTCTGGGATGGCGGGTCAGCAAGCCCTGATCATGATCTACCAGTCACCTGTCTGAGATCTACTGGCTGCTGACCCCTGTCTTCTGCCCTGCCATCAGTGACCCCTGTCTTCTGCCCTGCCATCAATGACCCCTGTCTTCTGCCTTGCCAGCAGTGACCCCTGTCTTCTGCTCTGCCAGCAGTGAACCTTGTCTTCTGATCTGCCAGCAGTGACTCCTGTCTTCTGTCCTGCAAGCAGTGACCCCTGTCTTCTGCTCTGCCAGCAGTGACCACTGTCTTGTGCCCTGCCAGCAGTGACCACTGTCTTCTTCCCTGCCAGAATTGACTCCTGTCTACTGCCTTGCCAGCAGTGACCCCTGTCTTCTGCCTTGCCAGCAGTGACCCATGTCTTCTGCCCTGCCAGCAGTGACCCCTGTCTTCTGCTTTGCCAACAGTGACCCCTGTCTTCTATCCTGCCAGCAGTGACCCCTGTCTTCTAACCTGCCAGAAGTTACCCCTGTCTTCTACCCTGCCAGCAGCAGCCCCTGTCTTCTACCCCACCAGAGTGACCCCTGTCTTCTGCCCTGCCAGCAAGTGACCCCTGTCTTCTATCCCTGCCAGCAGTGACCCCTGTCTTCTACCTCCTGCCAGCAGTGACCCCTGTCTTCTACCTTGCCAGCAGCAACCCCTGTCTTCTGCCCTGCTAGCAGCGACCCCTGTCTTCTGCCCTGCTAGCAGTGACCCCCCACTTGAAACCACTTTTCATACAAATTCATAAATCCTGACAGGAACAAGGTACAATAAAACAAAGTATATATTCAGATAGGTCAGTTAATTACCTGACACATTACACGCCTATGTAGCACCTACAGAAAAGTAGAAAGCAATCTGTCGTTATCTGGAACGGTAAGATATGTCATATTTGATGTCTGGACGTTCAGGATATCATTCTGCATATTAATCTAACAGTGGCTAGGCTGCTATATGTACCTAGTGAAGGTTATTGGCCATGGTATAAACGAGTGAGGGATTTGGTCATAGCCTGAGTCCCCGCCTTAACACCCCTCCCCAAATGAGGCGATTGGTTCTCTGCTTTAAGGAGACACCCTGCTGGGTTCCTAGAAAAAAGGCTGTCATGCCTGGAGAGAGAGATGAAGAGATTCTCCGTTTTAACATCAGGAACCAACTTTGTTCAGGACAACTGGGCTCTGCTTAAACGAAGACTTCTGCAAGTATTCTACCTTCTTAAACTTATATATATTTGTCTCTCTGTTGTGTTATTGATCTATTTATATATATATATATATATATATATATATATATTAGTTACATCTTTTCTGTAAATATTTTTATTGCACAATTTTGACCTTTTTAGTAATAAATCCTATTTTCTGAAAAGTGTTGAACTGTTTCTAAAGCTCTTTAATGAAAACTAAGAACCCCTGTCTCTGAAGAGTGCTACTGTGTGTTTTAAAACATCTCGATACATCTGTCTGCGGTCACAGTGTGTATACAGACGCTTATTCAAACATCATAGTGTTACTGCTAAGATTTGTGAGTTTCCTCCTCTGTAAAAAGGTGGTGGTGGCAGTGTGAAGGGTTAATTGCGTAATTAACCTGACCCAGTAACAATCGCTCTCAGGCTGTTGGCACCTAGATTGGGGTCCAGTGAGCTGGAAAATCTTTGTGCAGGGTGCAGCTGAGAGTGGCATTGTTACGCAAGTGGCAGCGCGGTTTTAGATTGGCTAGTCCTTCGGTCGCAAGTTGGTGAGAAGGGCTGGGGTCTGATGCTGCGCCCGTCACACAGCCTATCAGTGGCCATCACTGCAGCCTCATTAGCGCACATCAGCAAAGGAGAAAATTACTCATTTACAAAATTTTATAACAGAAACTAAGAAAAAAATATTTTTAAAAAAAAATTTTCAGTTGTTTTTGGTTTGTTTAGATAGAGCTTTCTTTTTGTGGTATTTAATCACCACTGATTAAATACCACCAAAAGAAAGCTCTGTCTCAAAAAATGATAAAAAATTTCAGTACAGTATACGGAGTACAGTGTTGCATGACAACATGTCATTCAAAGTGTGACAGTGCTGAAAGTTGAAAATTGGCCTGGGCAGGAAGGGGGTGAAAGTGCCCAGTAGGCAAGGGGTTAAATTGTAAGGATAGATTTATGTAAGAGACAGAGTTAAACTTGGTTTTCCCAAACACGTTGATTTGCTAGTTTTCAGTATCCAAATCCCTTGCTTGCCTGAGGCAGGCACTCCATGTTCTATGTGCGTCACATCGCATTGTCACTGCAGTCTGCGTTGTTCACTGTCAGAAAAAGGACATGTAACACAGCATGGGGGGCTGTGAAACACGAGCAGAGAGTTTATTTTTTTTCTCTTTCAGAAAGAAAGATGGGCAGGCGAAGCGGGGAAAACTCATCACGGCAACTTCCTAAAATATCTTCTCATTTATCAATCTTTTCTTGATGAGCGCTGTTTTTTTGATCAGAGAAATACAAAAGCAGGCAGCTTAGCATTGTAAGGCTCATGATGCTTGCAGCAAGTCGCAGGCGCTGGTGAACCTCGTCAATTAACATATGCTTATCAATCACCAAGAAAGAAATTTGGCAGACCTGACATTCTCAGTCATTATAACATTGCTTACTTCCAGAGAGGCCGCTGCAGCTGACTTCATTAACAGCATGAAATGTAAATGTTTCATTAAAAATGTTTAATTACTAAATTAAACCTACAACGTGGTGCAGGCCATCATTTAACTATAAGCTGTGTGCACATTCATATCTGGACGTATTACAGCCTGTATAAAAAGCTGTGCTGTGCTAACATTCGCACTGAGACTTCTCTGCTTTTATTGGAGATTTGAAACAACACTTTAACCACTTGCCTACCGGGCACTTTTACCCCCTTCCAGTCCAGGACAATTTTCAGCTTTCAGTGTTGTCGTACTTTGAATGACAATTGCGTGGTCATGCAACACTGTACCCATAGGAAATTTTTATCATTGTTTTCACACAAATAGAGCTTTTTTTGGTGGTATTTAATCAACACTGTTTTTTTTATTTTTTGCACTATAACTGAAAAAAGACTGGAAATTTTGAAAAAAAACTTTTCTATTATAAAATTTAGCAAATAGGTAATTTTTGTAATTCACTGATGTGCATTGATGAGCATGCACTGATAGGCAACACTGATGGGCACTGATAAGCAGCCCTGATGAGCACTGATATGCTGCACTGATGAGGTTCCACTGATGAGGAAGTACTGGTGGGCATTGATGAAGAGGCACTGATGATGCTACGCTGATATGCAACATTGATGGGCACTGATAGGCAGGAATGATGGGCACTAAAAGGCGGAATATGACGTCCACCCAGAACTGGCGGGCCGCAGTGCAGCCGTCATTCGGCTATCTGCGGTCGGCAAGTAGTTAAAATAACTAAACTAAGAGACCCAGTTTCTTGCCTCTCATGACAGGCTGGGTCCTGATTCTTGTTTCTACTGCACTGTGGAAGGGTGCCCATGTTGCTCCCTAGTGATGGAGGCAATTTATCTGTTGGAAGAGTCCACCCCATCCTAAAAACTTTAGGTGGCGAGAACAGGTGTGTACTGTATAACACTTGGGGGGGGTTAAAACGTAGGGGATAAAAGTACCTAATATAACCACTTGACCTCCAAAAGATTGACCCCCCTTCCTGACCAGGCCATTTTTTGTTATACGGTGCTGCGTTACTTTAACACAATTGCACGGTCATGCAACACTGTACAGAAGTGAAATTTATGTCATTTTTTTCCCCACAAATAGAGTTTCCTTTGGTGGTGTTTGATCACCACAGGGTTTTTAATTTTTTTTTGCACTATAAACAAAAACAGACCAACAAATTTTGTAAAAAAAAATATGTTTTACATTCTGCTATAAAACATATCTATTTAAAAAAAAAAAAAAATAAAATTTCTTAATACATTTAGGCCAAAATATATTCTGCTACATATTTTTGGTAAGAAAATCCCAGTAAGCATATATTGATTGGTTTGCCCAAAAGCCTACAAACTATGGGATATATATACTGGCATTTTTATTTATTTATTTATTTATTGTTATACTACCAAACGGCAGTGCTCAGCAACTTATAGCAGGACTGCGTTATTGCAGCGGACAATCTGACACTAACTGACACTTTGGGGGAACCATTGACACTAATACCAGTGATCAGTGCTAAAAATATACACTGTCGCGGTACTAATGGTACTGGCTGGGAAGGAGTTAAACATCTAGGGCTATGAAAGGGTTAATTGTGTGCCTAACCAGTGTTTTTCTGTTTACTTTTAGCTGTTTTTACTGCTTTGCAGGGAAACAAAATGCAGCACATTCTCGCTGATAAGATGGAGCCCTGCATTGTTTACATTTGCAAAGCTCCATCCTGTGTGTCTCCTCAGCGATCAGCAGGTGCCAGCGGTCATGCCGGCACCTGTTGATCGGCTTCTGCTGTGACAAATCTCACCAGAAGCACTGTTCCAGCATGCTATGTGCCCTCTACACGGAGGTGCAGAATCATATATACTGTATATATATATATGATTCTGCACAGTGCGGCTACCCTTGAGCAGTAAAACTGCTATATGGCAGTCGGCATATAGCGGGTTATTTTCCGCTAAAGAAATCCTATCTCTTTCTCATTTAATTATACTACCTGACCCCTATGTCACCAGTACCAGCCTGCCTCAGTCTGCTGCTTCACCTGCCCAGTGTGGACACCTACCCTGCTGCTAGCAAGACCTACAAGCACTCATGACACTCTGTACTCCTGTGCCTCCTATCTACACAACCAGGGGCCCTGAGTCAGAAGTGTAAGAGAGATTTTCCTCATCATATTAGGCTCTGCTACCAGGTACATGATAATGCCACTGTACACCTTTCGCCCAGCTCTTAAGGCACTATGGAGCACAGAACTGATGTACGGGTAGGTCAGATTTACTCTGATGTCTCACTCTGCAAGTCTATAAGTCAGTTGACTGTCCTCTGTGTGTGACTGGTCATTTAATATTTTATAGTAAAAGTTGGTAAGGAGCGAAGGCAGTATTTGTTTCTGGGATGGGGAATATTTAAGCAGGCCCTTTGCCTTTCCCAGTATAGCAGTTTCATGCTCTCATGAATGCTGTATAGCTACAAGGAATCATGCAAACATGTAGCTTAGTACCTTACAACTAAATAGTTTGTGGTGGGTAAATGTCTATCAAGGTAATGCTCTGCCACTTTCTACATGGGCCATAAGAAAAGTCTTTAAAAAGACACAGTCAACTTGCTTATGGAAGGAAAAGTGAAGGTCCCCCACCTCTTCATACTTACATTGCCTGAGCTCCCTTATGCCTCTCTCTCATGCATGCAGGCACCACTGGAATCACCAGTGTTGGTGACTAGAGGGTGCGGTGATGTTACTCCCTCAGTCATGTGTTAATGTTCAGGTCTAGAGATTGGATTTAAGCCCTAAGCACTGTCACAGAAGAAGAGGTCACATCCCTCCCCTATACCTGGGAAGTGACACTGGCTGTGATGGAAAAAGGAGTGGCAGGAAACTGCTGGAAAGGTTGGTAGAGATGTTTTGCAGTCACTTTGCCTTAGTAACATGGCAAGTCCTTTAAAATTTGAAGGCTGTTGACACAGCCACAGAATATTTACAGCACACAGAAGACTTCAAGAAGGTAGCTTTCTTTCATACACAAGCATATTAAGTTATGCCTATGAGGTTTCAGGAATAAGGAGTGATACAATGTAAAACTGAGGTTGCCAGATTCATACAGCCATCTTGAGGAGCCATGTACTAGCATTATCATACCACCAAAGCTTATATGCTCCTGTCCAAATGGCCATGTAAAGTATTTTTAAGGCATGCACAAACATCTTCCATGTTTTGTTGAAGTCATTTTGATGCCATAGAACACCACATTGCTATGCTACCATACTGACATTTCCAATGTTTCCAAAGCCTTACTAAATTGTTTAAACATTATTATATGACTCTACGTAAACCCTAAAACCAATTTCACTGTAACTAAATTAGGCATACCATTCCAAAGCACCATTGAAGGGATGGGAATACTTTGTAAAAGTGTGTGTTTGTGTGCACGCGCCTTTGTATATCTAGAGCTTGCTGTTTTACAACAAATACCATATAACCCTATATTTAATGGAACCATTCAACAATTTATGAAGAACCAGAAGCAATTGAGTTGAGAAAAGTCACATAGAACTGAAACAAATAAAGTGGTGTTGCGCTAATATCAATAGTACTAAGAACACAATAATTCAGAGTGGGGAGACAGAAAAAGTAACCCCAAAACAGAGGTGATAAGTATAAAGGCCTGAATTCAGACATAATTAGGTGCAATATGAATTGTGACAAAGACAACATGAGTGTTAATCAGCAAATTAACATAAATAATACATAAAAATGCAAAGGCCTGAACCCAGACCAAACTAAGTGCAATATAGATTGTGATGAAATACAATGTGAAAATAGTCACCAAGTGAACATAAATAATGTATTCAACATAATAGGACTAACACGTCCTAAATAAAAGTGCACAAAAAACACTGTGCAAAGAAAATTGTGCCAAAATCAAATGGAAAAAATATGTGCACATAGAACTGATCATTCCCCATCAGTCTTCCACCCACATTTTCATGTATGATCTGGTTTTTATTTTACCAAACAATCAAAATTGCTTTTCAATCTAAATCACCACGATGCAAGTTGAAAGATTTTTTTGCATTTGGTTTTATTCCCATTTTAAATTATTTTATCATTCAAAACTGGGAAATAATTACATTTTCAGAAATCTGTAGACCATTCTATTACATGTGCTGTTTGTTAATCAAAAGTTGATGGAAAAATTCCAAAATGCCCACATGGACTGTATGCTGATAGCTGCTTTCCACACATCTGTCTGAGCTTATGTCAATG